ACCCTGGCGGGTCACACACATACCCAACCAGCAAGCACTCAGACAGGCATGCAACCCAGCAGGCACGCACACACACACAACCGGCAAGCACTCAGACAGGCATGCAAACCAGCAGGCACGCACACACACAGACTTGAGACCACAGCAGAATGCGGGAATCACAGCAAGGCATTCATTCCATTGACAAATCCCAGAAATCAGCAGTGTTCTCAGTCTGTGTTTTGGGCGGGTCATTACATATTGCAATTCTGCTCAACATATTCTTTTTTCAGATTTTTTTTGGATTTTGTTTTTGTGTGTGTTGTTTTCTTTGCGCTGGGGCTGCCCGGGCCCATTCCCGGGGGACCGGGGGTCATGCCCGGCTGGTCACCCGGTCGCCAAACCGGGCGTGATGTCAGTAGCGGGGCGCCCGGGATATCTCCCTAGGAACTTGCACAAAACTTCTGTGAAAAATTGAAAATGTATTCTCTGTGGCACATTTTTAGCCTTTTTTTTGTATCCATTACCCCTAAGGACCCTAACACTTTTTTTTAAATAACACTCTTTTTCTAATGTATTACCATCCAACTATATCAGGACTCGAACGTGTGACCTGTTTGCCGACATTTACATGCGTTTCATTCAGACCCAGCCTGTGTACCTGGGAGGAGGGATTGTGAGAGAATGCCGGCCATAACCAGATGCAGCTCATGGAATAAGTGTCATGCTGGACTGGCACTGCGTACATGGAAGGAGAGCACGAACCTGCCCGTTTTTACGGCCTGGTTCATGCTTCCCGAGCATGATCATAGCACCAGTGGCGACGGCCCCTAATGTCGAGCGCGCACAGGCATCTTGGGTAGTGGCTGCTCAATCCCTCTTTTCTCTGTGACTGCCGTTGCTATGTTCATTTTAGGAGAGCATGAACCTGGCCGTTATTTCGGCCATTCATTTTCTGACAACACGAATCTCACTGTTATTGCAGCATGATTCGTGCTTTCCAAGCATGAGCATAGCACCAGTGGTGCGTGCTCCTACGAGTGAGCTCGCACAGTCATCTAGGGTTAGTGTCTGCCTAATCCCTCTTTCCTCTGTGCCTGTGGTTTCTCCCCAGTCTTGTTTCCAGCCGTGATCTCAAGCATTCCTTCTTCCTTGTATTCCCTTCTTCCTTGTCCTTTGCGATGTACCTGCAACCGCTTTGCAGGCGATTGCCAGACTTATTCGATAACCATCTCTCATGATCTCGCACAGCAAAGCAGAAGGAAAATGAGAGCAGGTGTGGCAGAATCATTTTTTGCGCCAAAGTTGTCAAAATGGATTGATACCAACCATGCATCGCACACTTCAAATGATTCTCGCATCGAATTGAACACACAAAGCATGCATGGGAATTGAGTCCTAAAATAGCCCCTGCATGTCAATTGTTATACACAAGATTGTCTTCAGGTGGCTATGGTTGCCCGCAACAGCACACGGGTGTGGTATTCTCTCTGTCTCTCTCTCTCTCTCTCTCTCTCTCTCTCTCTCTCTCTCTCTCTCTCTCTCTCTCTCTCTCTCTCTTCCATCTTAGGTAAGTTGCCTTCTGCCCTCCATCGTTCTGCCCTCCATCCCCTTATGGTTTGAAATATATATATGTCCTGATGAGTCGGTGAAACTCCGACGAAACAGTTTGTCACAGCCCCTCGTTTGTTGTCCTCTTCTCCCTCTCTGCCTACGGTTTACCGGGCAGTTCTATTTGACGATATATATGTATACATATGAATGTGTGCAAGTGTGCCGCTTTGGCGGCAAACGAGTGTGTGGGCACTTGGTGCTGAACCACAAAACGTGGCCAACCTTGCATTCTCGATTATAATTTTTATCTATACTCTTTCGTTATGGATGACTTGTGATGATTTGTGAAGGGAATGAGAGAGAATTTGGTGTCTTTTAAAACAACTCACACACATACACGTGTACAGACAAGATGCACCCACCTGTGCAGTGTTTGCACGACTAGCAGCCACTCTGAGCA